ATTATTGAAATTTTAAATTTTAAAGTAGTTTTAAAAAAAATGGTGGGAGCGGTTACAAAGGACACATGTAATGTTTTGATTTGAGTGAACTAATTAAATATTTTAAAATTCTAGTAAATTAGCATTGGGGAATAAAATCTTCTCAAGGCCTCTCATCCCTATATAGTGTTATATAGTGTAGTAAGAGGTGTTAGGTTAAATATCATAATTAATGCTTAAACTTTGTATCTTGTTTTAAAATGATCACTGAATTTTCAATTGTCTCAATTTAGTTTATCAACTATCAATTTCATATCAATTAAATATGTTTATCAATTTTAGTCATTAGAACAAATGGCGCCATGTGACATGGGGACGACATGACAAACATGTGACTTGACTCCGTTTATTCTAACGACTGAAATTGATCATGATTAATGCTTAAACTTTGCATCTTCTTTTAAAATGGTCATTGAATTTTCAATTGTCTTAATTTAGTTCATCAATTATCAATTTCGTGTCAATTAAGTCTCTTTGTCAATTTTAGTTGTTAGAACAAATGGCGCCATGTGACATGGACGACGCATTACAAACACGTGGCTTGACTCCGTTTATTCTAGTGACTAAAATTAATAGAAGAATTTAATTGACACGAAATTAATAGTTAAGGGACTCAATTGATAATTGAAATTTCATGGATCATTTTAAAATAAAAAATAAAGATTGATGACTAATTATAATAATTTACACTACGTTTTATATCAGGAGGTAGTGTTGTGATTAGGGATTCCATAAAAGTCAGAAGCAAATACCAAGGGTCTAAGAACAATTGGTCCTAAATGTATGCTTGTAGGACAAAAGAGGAGTGTCCAATTTCATGACCCTATTCAAGGAGGCAAATTGTCCCACACTGACTACTGTTCAAGGACAAAAAGGGCAAAAGGAAGGGGTAGATGACCTGATTTGAACTTTCTATAAGAACCTTGTGTAAATGTACACCAAAGGAAATGTGGGACAATGATACATGCACATTGTAAAAGCATAAATGTTTCACCAAAAAAGGTTCACTTCTCATCTTTAGCATCCCACTAAAAAGTAAAATGCATCCCATTAACAAAAAGCACCTCATGTGTCTGACAAATTGGTTATTGAATCACAATTCTATTACAGTGACGGCATGCCACTTGGGTCACAATCTTGAAAACCCCAATTCAATTTCACCCCCTCCATTGTTGTACATGAAAAAAATAAATGATTATAAAATTTTATGTGTACTTTGTCTCGCAATTTTTTTTTTTTGACGGAAGTAAACTATTTGAAAAGTGCACCTTAATGGCATGTCATGGTGCATTTGCAATTCATATTCTTGTTTGCTAAGTAAAATCAATGGAAAATCTATTAGCATTTGTAATTGATTTCTATACGATGCATTGAAATCTAAATGGCAATTTGTACATTTTACAAAATTGCTGAATTATTTAATCAATTCGTAACGTATTAAAAAAATCTAAACGACCAAATTTGCTAAAATTTTGAGAATAGCCAAACATTACATTCTATTCAATATATATATATATATATCTATCTTAAAATATCTTTTAATTCAACTTGGGCGCCAAGTCTAAACCCATGTGAAGAAAAGGGCTACAAAAACAACAAATTTAAGAATTAAATTTTAATATTAGTAAATGTCAATTTTTTTTTTTCTGTGTAGAAAACATATGAAAATTCCAAAAGAAACTATTCTGTCAATGCAAACCCTTTGAATAGGGTATCTGTGGGGACCTAAAAGTCACCCATAATAGGACAAAACTTGAAGGGTGGATCAATCTATCTTGTTTTATCCACACGAACCACTTTTTCAAAGAATTNCTGTGTAGAAAACATATGAAAATTCCAAAAGAAACTATTCTGTCAATGCAAACCCTTTGAAGAGGGTATCTGTGGGGACCTAAAAGTCACCCATAATAGGACAAAACTTGAAGGGTGGATCAATCTATCTTGTTTTATCCACACGAACCACTTTTTCAAAGAATTGGCAGAAAGTATTTGAACATTAATCATTTTCAGTTTAAAGTTAAACACGAGAAGTAAACCTTTGCAAAGTGTACGCCGAGTCACTGTCATTTATTTATTTAGGAGGTTTTGATATTTCCAGGCTCACACTTGCTAATTCCAGAATATTTTGTCATTATCCCAATAGAATTTATTCGTACCACAACATTTGTTTTTGACTGATGGGTCTACCTAGCCTAGGTGACAAAATTTTTGCACTTTGCGGTAATTGGTTGTCTTTTTAAATGAAAATGTATTTATTAAATTTTAGCTCTTTGCTAAAAAAATAACTAAAATACAAAATCAAATATTTATGTGTCCAAATAGAGAGTGAAAGGGGACAGGGAGAGTAAAAACTTTGTGCATTACACAAGCTCTGCTGCTAGTATAAAAATACAAACTTCCATCCTCTTTTCTGACCTAAGAAAAAAAAAATACCTTTTAGATTAAAAAAAAACCATTAGAAACAAAGTCTCCAAGTGGGGGAGAACAGGCTTTGCACAATTCATTTTTGCCATTGACTGAAAGTTGGCCCCATCACTAATTGGCCCATTACTGGGGCATATATATATATATATATATATATATATATATATATATATATATATATTTTTTTTTTTTTATTTTACCTTCTATAACTTCTTCTCTATCAAATTTAAGTACCCAGAACTTTATCATTGTGCAATAATTTAAACACACTACCTCAGCTGACTTCATCTGACACATACCATTAGGCGCATTTTTTTTTGGAAGTTATCATTATGCGCATTTATTATGTCCCAATAGTGGTATTCTAATTTTAATTTGTCTTTATTTTCCTATCTCGTGTTTCCCCTCCTTGCTCTACACGGCCAACACCTAGCATTCATAATTTTCTAAACCTATTATTTCTATGTTACCAAATTTTTTATACTTAGACAGCCTTTAATAATTAATATTGTAAATATTATAACTACAAATGGTTTACTACTCAAAAAATAAATAAATCCCTTGTAGAATGGATAAATAAAATTTAGGACAAAATTTTCATATTAAAAATATGTAGTATTAAGTGGATATATTACTAGGACACATATATTATATACAAAAATGATCGGAAGTGTTGGATTATTANATTTTATCAGTGACAGCTCCATACTTCAATAAAGGGCATGAATAATTAACTTCACATTTTATCCTTTTTAGTTAACATTGGTCATTTATGGTCAAATTCAATAGGTGTTGGAGTATTTCAATTATTTATATTGCTGGCAATAAAGATTGAAAAGCTTCCCTTCATTCGATGTCAATAGACTCAGTTGATACAAACAAGAATCTAAAATTTTAAAATTCAAATTTAATTAAATTTGTTAATTTAGACAAATTCTGACCCCTTAAAGTGAATTGGAATATCATCTAATGCCCTATAAATTTGGGCAGAGTCTTACCCTAAATTTGACGAGCTATAATTGAATAAGAGAAAATTTAAAAAAAATAAAACAAGTGTGGATATCAAAATTCTATCCCTTCCATAATTTCATGCATTAAATGCCTTTAGCTTTAAAAGCTACTAACTATAGTTGCTTGTCTTGAGTTGAAAAGTTCTATGACTTCAAAAATTTTGTCTTTGGGTAATATAGCGTCTCTTTGAATAAATAATACGACCCAAACAAAAGAAAAAGAGCTAAGAATTCGTATTTTCATGGTTTTAATTTGTATTATCAAGTTGAGATATTAATTAATCCTCATTTGATATGTTCAACTAATTAAATTAAATAATTTAAATTTATTATTAGTTATATCATGTTCAAAATTGATATGTGGAGCTCATAAAAGAATAGAATTCATTATTAAGATATTTTTTTTATTAGAATTCATTATGGGTTTTTATTTATGAAGTAAAGTTCTAGTTATTTGAGATATATTATACTAATAAAATGGACCTAAAAATTGATAGCTGAAGTATTAATGGACGTGAAATTGATGAGTCCCAAAATCAAATATAGGGTGCGAACATGTAATAGAAAAAACGAAAAACAGTCCACCTGAAATTATTAAAAGCTGAGCTGTAAATATCATTTTTCCGAGTTCCTCGTCGATAATCCATCACCAAAGATCTCCAACTCAAGCGCACACTCCATTTTTCTGAGCTGGAGAGAGAAGCGGCCAGTTGAGACTCCAGAAAGAGAAGAGACTGTCTTGACAGAGAGAGACAGAGAGAGAGTTGGTTTTCTTTCACGCCAAATTAGCCTTAGGCCATTCTCCGGAAACGCGAGATCATTCTACCTCAGAAACTTCAAGTGGGTCATCTTTTGTTTTTTGTATTTGTTTTTGTTTTGTTGAGGTCCTACTCCACTTGTTGGTCTTTGCTGTCTCTGCCTTCGCCCTTTCTGAACTCCCCTCCCCAAACGTCCACCCTTTTTCTCTTTAATTAATGTCCATTCTTGCCTATCTCCATTCAAATTCCAATTTTCTCTCTCTTCACGAAATTTCATACATCCATTTCATTGGTATACATCCCTATTGATTTTTTTTTTGTTGTTGTTGTTGTTGTAAGTTTTCTTGTCCATTAAGGTAATACAGAAATCAAATTTCTTTTTGTTGTTATAGGCTTAATAGTTGTGCCGTACATGTATGGTTTCTGTTTGAATTTTTGCTCTTCTTTGATTATCAAGATTGGGTGTTTGTTCTGCTGTGAAAAAGAGAGTGTTTGCGTCCAACGTGGGCATCTGGGTGTTGCTGTACATAAGCAAACTTTACTGGGTTTTTCTTGGAATGGTTGATATAGTTCTTGGATTTGATGGGTTTGTTTCAAGATTCTTGCTGTTGACCTAAAGTGTCTTATTGGGTTAGCTTGAAATTCGCACATATTCTTGGTATTGTTTTGATTGATATTGAGATTTCATGTTTGGTCCGAGACAATGGAGATGTTTATGGCCAGATGTTTTCTTTTCTAGCGTTGACTATTGTAGCTTGGTGAAAAAAATATGAAAAACCTATTAAAAAAATTTCATATTGTGCCCAATCAGTCTGAAGATTCAGAGGGGTCTGGTTCATCGAAGAGCAATAGGTTGGGTGATGTTCCATCACCTGAGAGGTCTTCACACTCTAGGTCTCATCATGGTTCTGAGCATAAACCCTTTTCAGCTATTTCTGGATGGTTAAATTCTGTTGGAAATAGAAATAATCCTACTAGTCATAGTCCTAGTCCCCCATTTTCTTCAAATATGACAAGAAGTGAGAGAGTTGAACCCTCTGATTCTGTGGTCACTAGTGGTTTTGATGCTGCTTTGGATGCAGTGAAGCGCGATTCAGGGTCTAGCAACTCAAGGGATCCCGATATTGAAGAGGAGTATCAAATTCAGTTAGCTTTAGAATTGAGCGCAAGGGAGGATCCTGAAGCAGTTCAGATTGAAGCTGTTAAGCAGATCAGTTTGGGCTCATGTCCTCCAGAAAATACTCCAGCCGAAGTAGTTGCATACCGATATTGGGTGAGTTGATTTTGTTTGTCATTGGATTGTCTCATTGTTTCCTGTTTGATTAGCTTGGTACCATTCACTCACATATTATCTGCTATGTAACGTACCATTAATGGGCCACATTGTAACGAATATTAATTTGGTTGCGGTATTGAGTCAGTTTAGATGTGTAGGATTCAAATCATGAGGTTATGGTATTATTGTAAAGATTTTGTCAAATAGTACCATAGTTGACAATATAAAGATGTTTGTAGTTCCAATTGATATTGGAATGCGACATTTCTTCCTGAGGCAGGATTAAGGGCTTGAATTATCGTTCTTCACGATATCTAAATCTAGATATATACAATAAATTTGCCCTTTTTGTGGGTTTTTTGGGTTGGGGGGCATTTTTTTGAATAAAGGAAAAAAAAAAAAAAACAACCATCATGAAGAGGAAGTGAAGTGCTGCCCAAACACAGAGAGATAAAAAGCAGCAATACTACTCGAATGTGTAAACCACAGTCGCAAAGATGGATATCGTATAATGCTTGACCCTGGGAATGTGAGGTTTTTCGCCAGAAAATGTGGTAGGAAAGATGGATTTTGGAAGAAATCTGAGAAATAGGAAGAAATGAGATAGACGGAGAACGTGATTGAATGTTGAAGTGAGCAGGATAAATAGAATCATGAAAGACGAACAATGATGACAAAATACCTCATAGGTCTGCACCGTTGGATACCCTTTTTGAGAAAGGTAGATTAGCTAGGTTCCTTTTAGGGCTACCATCATTAATTAATTTGAGTTAACCTGAGTTAATTTGAGAATGAGAGTTTATCTAGGTATATCTTGGGTCTTACAACCATAGTTACTCTAGTTAAGAAAGAGAAGTTATCTACATGTTTCATGGAATTTGCTCCAAAACAACTAATTTCAATTCATACCCAATTCTCTATGATGACTTTTGTTACCCAAGAGCAGAGTGCTTGAAGTGCGAAAATCGGCCAAAACAGCGAAGAATCTAAGAATTGAGAACTTAAGAGTGATTTAATCTATTTGATGACTGGTTGTATCACTAGCACATAACAAGCCTCACTTTTGAAGGTGTTTACCACATGGCTCTATGTCTCAAGGCCGAGAAAACTAGAATTGCCATAATAAAGATCACTACTTAATTTGGTCCCCGTTAACCGAGGTATTGGGAGGGGTGGACCAAGCCCAAACCTAAACTTGGGCATTTTTAGCCAAAAAAAAAGGAGTTGCCATCAGGTTCAAAAGTACAACCTCCCGGTGATAAGCCTGATCATGTTACCAATGCACTAGGCATTGGTTGACCCCTAAAACTTCGACTAATAAAGGGTATACTTGAAGGAGCATTAAGTTACGACAAGTCTTGCTTTCACAGCGAATAAATGGTAAATCATAAATATAAAAAAGAATGTATTTTCACCGACATTTCACTCAAAAACAGCTTAAANGAGAGATAAAAAGCAGCAATACTACTCGAATGTGTAAACCACAGTCGCAAAGATGGATATCGTATAATGCTTGACCCTGGGAATGTGAGGTTTTTCGCCAGAAAATGTGGTAGGAAAGATGGATTTTGGAAGAAATCTGAGAAATAGGAAGAAATGAGATAGACGGAGAACGTGATTGAATGTTGAAGTGAGCAGGATAAATAGAATCATGAAAGACGAACAATGATGACAAAATACCTCATAGGTCTGCACCGTTGGATACCCTTTTTGAGAAAGGTAGATTAGCTAGGTTCCTTTTAGGGCTACCATCATTAATTAATTTGAGTTAACCTGAGTTAATTTGAGAATGAGAGTTTATCTAGGTATATCTTGGGTCTTACAACCATAGTTACTCTAGTTAAGAAAGAGAAGTTATCTACATGTTTCATGGAATTTGCTCCAAAACAACTAATTTCAATTCATACCCAATTCTCTATGATGACTTTTGTTACCCAAGAGCAGAGTGCTTGAAGTGCGAAAATCGGCCAAAACAGCGAAGAATCTAAGAATTGAGAACTTAAGAGTGATTTAATCTATTTGATGACTGGTTGTATCACTAGCACATAACAAGCCTCACTTTTGAAGGTGTTTACCACATGGCTCTATGTCTCAAGGCCGAGAAAACTAGAATTGCCATAATAAAGATCACTACTTAATTTGGTCCCCGTTAACCGAGGTATTGGGAGGGGTGGACCAAGCCCAAACCTAAACTTGGGCATTTTTAGCCAAAAAAAAAGGAGTTGCCATCAGGTTCAAAAGTACAACCTCCCGGTGATAAGCCTGATCATGTTACCAATGCACTAGGCATTGGTTGACCCCTAAAACTTCGACTAATAAAGGGTATACTTGAAGGAGCATTAAGTTACGACAAGTCTTGCTTTCACAGCGAATAAATGGTAAATCATAAATATAAAAAAGAATGTATTTTCACCGACATTTCACTCAAAAACAGCTTAAATTTTTGGATGAGCAACTGTTGATGAACCTTTAAATGCTGTGCATAGGTCCATTGGTTTATAAAGTTAAGGGCAAATAGATGATGACTAAAAATTCAATGGGTATGGGCCCTAAAACTACAAGTGCCATGTGTTTAATAACGTACAATGTTCTAAATGAAGCTAGATAGTGTGATATATTTCTAACTGTAACCTGTTAGATACTCAAATTGTTATTAAACTATTCGAAGCTTCTTGTGGCACCTGTGTCAAAATTGAACTGAATTTCCAAGTTTATCTTTCCTTTGCCTGTTTATCTTGCTGGCCTCCTGAATTCTGCATTGTTTATTTTTTTCTTCTTCTCTATCAGGGGTATTACTAGTACGTTGTTCGTTTTTGTTTGTAATTGAAGCTAATCTGACTTGATAGTTAACATTGATGGCTCATGCATAGTTAGTAGATTTATTATATGTGTTGGGGTTATCAAGTTGCCTGTGTATGTTGTCTTAGTAGTGGTTTGAAATATGTTTCTGCATTTCTAACTTATCTCATATCGTAGATTTATCCATGCTTCACAGAATTACAATGCTCTTGGTTATGATGACAAGATCCTAGATGGTTTTTATGACCTTTATGGCATCTTTATGGAGTCCACTTCATCAAAGATGCCTTCCCTTGTTGATCTACAAGGAACACCTGTCTCAGATAATATCTGCTGGGAAGCAATACTCGTTAATAAGGCTGCTGATTCTAAGCTGTTACAACTAGAACAGAAGGCTTTGGAGATGGCTGTGAAGTCCAGGTCAGAATCTGTAAATTTTGTTGGTAGCAACTTAGTGTGGAAGCTTGCTGCTTTAGTTTCTGACCACATGGGAGGGCCAGTTGGAGATCCCGATAACATGTTGCTAGCATGGAGAAGTCTCAGTTACACTTTAAAAGCCACTCATGGGAGCATGGTTTTGCCCCTTGGTTCTTTGACGATTGGCTTAGCCCGTCACCGTGCATTGTTGTTCAAGGTACTTTGGACTTCTTGGTATTTAATGGTTTATTAACTAATAAACTTAATGCAGGACAAATATGACTTTGTTATTCATTAGTCATTTATGGCCTTCTTCTGACTTCCTAGTAGGACTATACCAACAAAGCTAATCAAGAAATTTGTGATGTTTCATTTGCTTCTATTGTGATGGGACCTCGTGATGGGCATGGTCCCACTTAAAATATAGACAAAGGTATTTTTCATAGTATAGTAGTCATTCACTGTTGGTGAACATATCAGGCTTATTGGAGCAACTCTCACCGATAGAGGGTTATGACTGCCATTGCATTAAAATACTTCAGAAAGGATTCTGCCATTTATGCAGTGACATCTCATCCCTGCACCATGACTCTTTCCTTGAGTATGCAAACCAACCTGTTGCTATGCAAGTTGGGTTTTGGCTATAGGGACTTTGAGTAGTCAGTAAAGAATCTGGAATTGTTTGCTGACTATTAAATGTTATGTCAATACCGAATAAACTTGTTCCTTCTTGTTACAAATCACTCTTTTTCACTTGCGCCTTTCCTTGCCATTGCTTGATGAGTGATACATAAACCAGTTTCCTGTCTTCTCAGAAGCCTAAGGCAAGATTTTAGACAGTGTGGAGATTAGGAAAGTGTACTCTTGGTGAGTCATCCCACTTAAAGTTAATGGTTGATTTAAGGGCATCTATCTTCCTGCCGGCTTTTAGGATTGCAGCTATGTAATTTTTGATTTGCATCCTGCCCACTGGGTCGAGCAAAGGTAGGTAGCAGGTTAAAATCTGCTTCAAAGACAAATTCTGAAAGAGAACTTTCACATTTATGAAGCCACAGTTCATCTACTATGACCAGTTTACTCATTCGGTTTTATACTGGAATACAAGCTGTCATAGTTATGCGTAATATACGATATGCAATACGTGTCGTACGATATATCACGATACACAAGAAAAACGAAACAATTTGTGTTTCTGCAATGTTTTTGCACCGTCTCATACAATACAAGATACAATAAGTACGATGTGATATGTATCATTTGATACACGCAGATAAATTTTTTTTTAATTTGTTTTTGGCGCTGAAACGATACCATTTCATGTGGGATGTTATTTTTTTACGTCCTAGCTAATGAACCGATGCCGTTTTACCGGCTAGGGCTTAAAAAAATAAAGCCATTCTTTAGTTTTTCTGATCGAGAAAGACTAGAAAAACTGCTTTTCCTCTCTAAATCTGTGAAGAAGCAAAAGCCCCTCTTCAATCCATCGCACAACAAAAGTCCTTCAAAGTTTAAATTAGAGGTCTTTGTATTTTAATATTAATGAACTACGTTGAAAACTTGAATAGTTGGTGGAATCAGTGGCAGAACCACTAGTGGACTAGGGGGACAAAGGCCCACCTTGAATTTTTTTTTTAAAAAATATTACCTATATATTTTAAAAAATTATTGGTATATTTATGGTGCCCACTGTATATATTTTGTGTTCAATTTATCAATTTTTTGTTCTATACAGTAGTATAGACAAATACTTAATTAACTATGAATTTTTGGACATACTTTATATTTTACAGATACGTCTATACAAGTTTTTGATATGTCAAATTTTTTTTTCTAAATTATGAAAATTGTGAGGATTAAGTTACATAATCAAATGAGTGAGTTAATTATTTATATAATTAAGATATTCTCTATAGTATGGATAATGAAGTTATCATACAACGTCTTTAAAGAATGAAAACTCATCGAAATCAATTGTAAATAATTATAATTAGTCTCTTTTCATTATTTTTTTTTTGTATATGCTACACATATCGATGTTGAATCATTTTGTATCTAATAAATATTTGAGTATCAAATATAATATAATAAATTTAAATTTACTATGTTACTTTTATTAAGTAACAGAAAAAAATTTAAGTTTATAGTTAAGGTGTCCACTCTGAACAAAATAAATTTTTTGGCTCCGCCACTAGGTGAAATATTAATGAAATGTTGTGTTATTATAAGTTGATGACTTTTTTTGTAATGATATATATATTTTATTAATAATTATTTAGAAAAGTCATTTTTTGAAATATCCTGCCTGTCGTACTTTAGTGGGTCTCTAAGATTCTTTCAATGACTTATGTGCGATACGCGATACGATACGATACATGATATATTATTTTTGAATAATGATACGTCTTATAATATACGATTTGACGACCATGCAATTAAAAATGAGGTGGTGGTATCATGTATGTTACTTTTTGTTGGTTTCAACTTTCAAACGTATCTAATAATAAATAAATATATGGATACTTTACAGATACTTTGATATACAAAGAAGTATGTGTAATTTATAGTTTTAATATTTACCCTTTTCTTTTGATTTCACATATAATGTAATAAATTAACAAAAATTCATATGACTTTGAAGGCACATGGATGTTTTTTAAGCATTATTCATTATCACATATTTAAAGAGTTTAAATGAGTTGATTACTCTATAATTTTGGTAACAAATACTTCTAAGCAAACAATATAGTTAAATGTTGATTTTTATTCCTTTAATTTATCACGGTCACTTTGTTGATTTACCACAGTGAGACGATAGGTAACTTTTTGAAAATAAAAATTGTTAACGTTGTTTATTATTGTTTAAGAATAACTAAAATTGTAGGTATCAAGTCATTACATAATAGTAAAAATATAAAATATATATTTATAGACGTATCCTGACTTTACTTGTATCCTATTTATTGGGATTTTGTCGTATCGCCGTATCCGTATCGTATTGTAGCTATATTCCGTACCCCCCGTATCCGTATCGTATCGTACCTATATCCCGTATCCATATACGTACTTCTTAGCTGGTCACTGCATTGGGTGATGGTGCAGTTGACATATTTGTTTCTTTTGCAGTATATCCATGCATGCAAATTCACGGGCCCGTGGTAGAAAACAATTCTAGAGTTTGAAACTCTTGGACATCTAATCCTTGTGCACATGGATTTCTTGAGGATCCACTTCCGTGCGTTGTTGTACAGCCTTTTCATGCTGCATTTAATTCTCATATGTTTGACTTCATTTACTCTATCATATTTTCTTTTCTCGTTTTGGTGCGTTGGACAGGAGTTTTACCTTTCTGCTGCCCGGTTTCCTTGAATGGTTGTGTAGGTTTTGGCTGATAGTGTGGATATTCCTTGCCGTTTAGTGAAGGGACAGCAATACACTGGTTCTGATGATGTGGCAATAAACTTTGTGAAGATTGATGATGGAAGGTTATTTTTTCCTGCTATCTTTTCCTGGTGCCAGCGATTTTATATTTTGTCCTTGACTGAAATATAGTTTATTATTCATCTTAAATTGTGAAGTTGCTTGTTATCTTTTCCCTTGCTGGTTGTGAATTGATTATATACTGCTTTATAAGGAGTACATGACGCAGTGAAGTGACTGCAACATTTTACAAAAAATCATGTAAAGACCAATCTCTAGGATCTGTTGTCAGCAGAATGGAAGCCTTTGAGGAAGAACCACAAAAGATTATTTTGATTAGAATTGCCCTTTTTTCCTCATCAACTTTTATTTGGAGTCCCTTAGTTAATTCCTGCAAATTTTTTTTCTGAATGTGCCAACCGTTCTCAGTATAACCAATTGAAGTGGTAAAGCATTGCTGAATAGGATTAATAATAAATAGATTTCTGGAACCATCTCGTATGCGAAACTTGAATCTTTTATAATTACTTAATTTGTGATTGCAACCATTTTATTGTTTAGTAAAACAATGATAATGACAATTTCAGGGAATACATAGTTGATTTAATGGCAGATCCTGGCACACTTATTCCATCTGATGCAGCAGGATCCCATTTGGACAATGAGGAGTCTTTCTTTTCTACCAGTCCTTTGTCCAAGGATGTAGGCTCCTCTCATACAGCGTCCTCTAGTAGTGGGGTTACCACTTCATTTAAAGACCAATTGGAGTCTGGGATCCTGGACAAGAGATCCAGGTTTGGCAATCATGATGGTGCAGAAAACGAATCTGATGACAGAGGTCAATTATTTGTGTCTTCTGCTAATTTAATTCAACAGCTTAGCACTAAGGAAGGATCTGATAAGTCAGATGAATTCAAAAATCCCTGCAAGGTGAAGGAGCTGGTTCGAGAAATTCCGAGCAGGGCCAATCATCCTTACATGCACGCAAGATCTCCTTCCTGGACTGAAGGAGTTAGCTCCCCAGCTGCACACAAAATGAAAGTGAAGGATGTTTCACAATACATGATTGATGCTGCCAAAGAAAATCCACAATTAGCCCAGAAACTTCATGATGTGTTGCTTGAAAGTGGTGTTGTTGCTCCTCCAAACTTGTTTACTGAAATCTACTCGGAGCAATTAGATATATCACCAGTGGAGGCAAAGTCCCTGACTGACGATAAGGAGAATAAAGAGAGAGATGTCACCCAGAAAGCAGCAACTCGAGCTCGTTTTTTACCTCCTCTGCCTTATCATGGTGTGCACTCTAAAGGAAGTCCTCGTGGACCACTGGAGCATCAGCTAGATTTAATGGAAGCAACTGGACAGCATACTTCATCACAATCTGAAGTAACTTCAGCTAAATATGCAAAAAATGTTCCTGTTGCTGCAGCGGCAGCAGCGGCAGCAGCTGTTGTTGCGTCTTCGATGGTAGTTGCTGTAGCAAAGACAAGCAGTGATTCAAATCTTGAACTTCCTGTAGCAGCTGCGGCCACTGCTACAGCTGCCGCTGTGGTAGCAACAACTGCAGCTGTCAGCAAGCAGTATGAGAACTTGGAGACTTGTGCTCATTCACCAAATACTGCTGCCCCCTTCTTTAACCCAACTGATTTTGCAAAGAGTGATGGAGATGCAGATGCTCTTGCTCAAGAGCCGCGTGGTAGTGGTGACCGGGAGCATGATGCTTTGGGGGTGAATTCCGAAGGTGAGAGAATATCAGATAGGTCGACAGGTGATGATAGTGCAAAATCTGATGTGGGATTAGATGACGTAGCAGACTGTGAGATTTTGTGGGAGGATATCGCCCTGGGTGAGCGTATTGGACTTGGTACAGATCTGCACTCATATTCTATCAATTTTATGTGCTTTCAGTCATATACGGTGTGACACATTTGTTTGGGATCTCATCTGTATATATCCTTCCTATTGCAGGATCGTATGGAGAGGTATATCGTGGAGACTGGCATGGAACTGTGAGTCTACATATATATCTGGTGTCTGAAATGGGTTTCTTTCGTGTTTTTTTTTCTTTTTTACTTTTTCCCCCTTTCCCTTTTATTGAAGATGTTCAATTCAAAGCCAATTGGCAATGCGTGGAAAGGTCCAGAAGGCTCATATACTAGTCTAGCATGTGTTATTTTAATGAGTTAGGACAAGGTTTAACATTTCCCCAGCATATGTAACCTTTAATTGCTTGTTGTGAGCATAGTTGTCAAATCGTGTATCGTAAGGCGTATCGTATCGTTTTTTAAAAATAATGTATCGTATCGTATCGTGTATCGTAAGATATACGCAATTTTAATTTTTAAATAATTATTAATAAAATATATCTATATACCGTTATAAAAATGTTATAAACTCATAATAACATAGTATTTCATTAATATTCCACAAACTATTCAAGTTTTCAACATAGTTCAGTAGTATCAAAATGCAAAAACTTCTAATTCAAACTTCTAACATCAACTGCTTGAACAACTTTAATATTAATTAGGAATTTTGAATTTAATTGAACAACATTAACATTAGACTTTATTTATTTTTTTTAAACTATAACCACTGAAACGACGTTGTTTCACTAGCTAGTGATTTAAAAATAAGTCTTAGGGTAAATTAATGTCATTTCAACCCCAAAAAAAAAAAATAAATAAAAAAACAGAATCGTCACGTATCGTACGTATCGAGTCTATCGTATCGTATCGTGTATCGTACGATACGGTGCAAAAACGATACAGAGACACGATATGTATCGTTTTTCAAATGTATCGTGATGTATCTTACGATACGTATCGCGTATCGTACGATACTAATAACTACTTGAGAGGTAGACAAAATAATTATTAGATAGAATAAGAGACATAGCAGGTGTACTTATGGCACATGCCAAAGGGAAAACCAATTACCTAATCAATGAAATTGACAAACCCTTCTAAAGTCAGAGACATATACCATGATAAAACATCCTACTCAAATCCAGTTGGCAGTGAATTGAGAGACACACTAGGAGTCTTAAGATCTTCCATTGTTATTTTAACGATATGAGACAAGTCGTAGCAGTCTTAAGATCTTCCATTGTTGTAAATCTTTTTACTAGTCTTTTTTTGTGTAATTGGTTGAACCTTTATGCTGATTTCTCAGGAAGTTGCTGTTAAGAAGTTCCTAGACCAAGATGTAACCGGTGAATCACTTGAAGAATTCAGAAGTGAGGTATAATCCCTTCCTTGCCATGATACACATTTCTTTGGAGTAGGCTTGAGTAAACCCTAATAGTTTCTAACGAAACATACTGGTGCTAGTCACATTTTAGGTGAGACCCACCAAACTGTGGGCATGGCTAAAAGTAATGCATATCTGGTGGGCGTTATTTGCTTCTTTTACATAAGCCGGAAGGTTGACAAAGGTTATATGCGCTTACGTATTGAAAAGAAAAAAGGTTTAGGATAATGCGGACACGAATCAAAGGTTTTGTAGATGCAGAAAACTTTACCATTGCCCAAACCTCTTCCATAGTTGAAACAACATTAAAAGCTCTATTTTCAGTCCTGAAGTGCTCTTAAGTGTTATATTAATTTTTTTCCTTGAAAACCCCCCCAAAAAATTTAGGTTAATGTTTTCCTCTTGCATACACCGAAAACACTGGTCCTGGAACATGCAACTGTGGGATATAGATATATTTGATCATGTACCATATAAGGTGGTGAGTGGTCAGAATGCAGCACGTGTTTTGGATGATATGTCCTAATATGTGCGGTTTTGTGNTATCGTATCGTATCGTGTATCGTACGATACGGTGCAAAAACGATACAGAGACACGATATGTATCGTTTTTCAAATGTATCGTGATGTATCTTACGATACGTATCGCGTATCGTACGATACTAATAACTACTTGAGAGGTAGACAAAATAATTATTAGATAGAATAAGAGACATAGCAGGTGTACTTATGGCACATGCCAAAGGGAAAACCAATTACCTAATCAATGAAATTGACAAACCCTTCTAAAGTCAGAGACATATACCATGATAAAACATCCTACTCAAATCCAGTTGGCAGTGAATTGAGAGACACACTAGGAGTCTTAAGATCTTCCATTGTTATTTTAACGATATGAGACAAGTCGTAGCAGTCTTAAGATCTTCCATTGTTGTAAATCTTTTTACTAGTCTTTTTTTGTGTAATTGGTTGAACCTTTATGCTGATTTCTCAGGAAGTTGCTGTTAAGAAGTTCCTAGACCAAGATGTAACCGGTGAATCACTTGAAGAATTCAGAAGTGAGGTATAATCCCTTCCTTGCCATGATACACATTTCTTTGGAGTAGGCTTGAGTAAACCCTAATAGTTTCTAACGAAACATACTGGTGCTAGTCACATTTTAGGTGAGACCCACCAAACTGTGGGCATGGCTAAAAGTAATGCATATCTGGTGGGCGTTATTTGCTTCTTTTACATAAGCCGGAAGGTTGACAAAGGTTATATGCGCTTACGTATTGAAAAGAAAAAAGGTTTAGGATAATGCGGACACGAATCAAAGGTTTTGTAGATGCAGAAAACTTTACCATTGCCCAAACCTCTTCCATAGTTGAAACAACATTAAAAGCTCTATTTTCAGTCCTGAAGTGCTCTTAAGTGTTATATTAATTTTTTTCCTTGAAAACCCCCCCAAAAAATTTAGGTTAATGTTTTCCTCTTGCATACACCGAAAACACTGGTCCTGGAACATGCAACTGTGGGATATAGATATATTTGATCATGTACCATATAAGGTGGTGAGTGGTCAGAATGCAGCACGTGTTTTGGATGATATGTCCTAATATGTGCGGTTTTGTGTATGTGTGCTACCAGCTACCATAGATTAATTCTTTGAATATGCTGTTGCATAACAATAAAAAGTTTTTGAAGACTTAGTGAGGTAATATTGTAGAATTTTAGAATATGAAAGAGATTGAAGATAGAAGAATAATAGAAAAATAAGACACAAATAATAACGTGGTTCGGCACATAGTGTCTACATTCACGGACCTAACGTCTTATAAGCTACATTTGATGTATTATTAAAGACGATTAATTATATGGGCCTCAACCCTATTTATAGGGTGAGAATTACACAAAATAAAAGATAGATCACATATGCTTATTTTCATCTCAACTTATCCAAACAAACCTAGATATCGATGGATCTCTTTGGATCCTATCATATTTCTACCTAGATATTGATTGATTCTTCTTGATCCTATCATCTCTAATACTCCCCTTCAAATTGGTACACTAAAATCGGTTGAAGTGTCCAACTTGAATTGAAAATGGAGTGGTTGCTTGTCAATCGGATGATGTAGCTTTGGTCATAAAACACCCTCTGAATAACAGATCGGGGTGAATGAACATGGAGTAACCACCTGAAATTTTTTTTTTTATTTTCCCGTATTTTTTATCTCTTTTTCCCTCTCTCTACTTTTTTTTTGTCTTCCCTCTCTTTTCTCCCATGCTTTTCTTCCTCAATCTTTTTTCTTTCTTTCGTTTGGACAAGGTTATGCCATTCGTGATGCCATAATGCAAGGTTTGGGAAATCTATTATGACTCTAGTCAAATGAAGGCATCAACTAATCCATCTCAATGCATCTGTCATCGAAGTTGTGGCCAAACTAGATGCCGACCAAGTGTTCCCTCTTTGATGACAATAACCTGATTAGCGACCATCTTCGATAGAGTGGAAAAAAATTCACAGTTGATCATAGGCAAAGCGGAAGTAAATTTAAATTAAGGTCCAATCGACTTGCTTTGATACCATGTAAATATGAGAGAGGTTGAAGATAGAAGAATGATAGAAAAATGAAACACAAAGAATGACGTGGTTCGGCACATAGTGCCAACATCCACGAATCTAACGCCCTATAGACTACATCTAATGTATTATTGAAAGTGATTGATTACATGGGGCTCAACCCTATTTATAAGGTGAAAATTATACAAGATAAATCACATACACCTATCATCATCTCTAGTTATCCAAACAAACTTATATATCATCTCTTTGCTTGGATATTGATGGATTCTTCCTAATCCTATCATATCTTTAAAGAACATGTTTGAATATCTTTGGATCCTATTGTATGAATTCAGTAAGCCACAACCAACTGATGCATTCTTGTAGATATTGGTAAACATGAGCCATAATCTTTGTCGCTTCTTGAATCTTCCTTGCATGGCTGAATATGCTGGTTGATAGATGCTTTGCTCCATTTAATTTTATGAATAGACCAAATCATTCAAATGTATTGGTTAGAAATCGATAGAGTTGCACAATAGTTTAGTGGACACTTGAGTCAGAACTTTTGAAGAATGTTGTTTGTGAACAAATGTAGGTAATTGCTTAAATGGTTTCACACAACATTGATGCCTTTTGTAACTCGTTCCTACACCAGTACATCAATTTCTTTTCGTGGATTTAAATGTTGATGCTATATATATATTGTTAATGTCAGTGGATAATAAATTAATGTAGTGTGAATCATTTTTACTTGTTTGGCTTGCAAGGTCCGGATCATGAAAAGACTCAGGCATCCTAATGTTGTTCTTTTCATGGGTGCTGTTACCCGTCCTCCAAATCTTTCAATTGTCACTGAATTCCTTCCTAGGTATGTTGACACTACATGTTTTTAGTCCATATTTTGAAAACTGGTGTGTTAATCTATGTTGTTGTATTTAAAGACATTAATCTGTATTAATGCGTAACAAGATCAATTCTTGTTCTCCAAAAAGATAAGATCAGTCTTAAACTCCAAACATGCTCTGGTACTTGATACAAATACGGACACAGGTGTCGTATTCGATATGATATGGAGACGGGGATATGACAATATTAAAAAAATATAAGATATGAGTATGGCAAGGATACGACTATTAAAATAATATAATATATTTTTTAAATAATAATAGAGTTGGAATATATTAAAAATAAAGCATATATTATAACAATATTAATAATAAGACCTATAAAATATTACTTTTTTTGATTAAAATTGAAATAGATCAAAATAAATATCCATAATTTTCATCAAATATCATTACATTCATTGGCATTCATAGTATTTGAGTTAACATAACAAAAATTATATTTAAAAAAAAAGAAATAACACATCTTTTAATAGTTTGTAGTTGTTTTTTTTTTGTTAAATTCTTCATTGTATCCTAGCCGTGTCCTAGATGTATTTTGGTTGTGTCTGGTTGGGTTCACTATTCAGGATATTTCTAGCTGTGTCGAACACGTGTCCGTTCGTGTTCGACACGGCCAAGGCATTGGGAAATATCCGTGCTTCCTAGGTGAGTAGAGTTTAATTCTCAAGTAGTACCACATCAGGAGCCTTCCTCATGCTTGCTTACATATAATTTGCACTACTATTGGATTGCTTATATTTATCAGCATGCAACAATTTACACGTAACCATATATCTGTCCTTTAGCCAGTAATCAATGGTTATAAGCGGAAGTAGGCAAGGGCTGTTTACATGCTGACAATTGCATTTGGCGAATAAGATGTTGAGGGCCTCTTTTTGAGTACCAGAAGCTGAACCATTAATGTACTGTCTGTATGGAAGTGTTGGCATTACAGAACGATGTACACCTTCCACTTTATCTATACCTATTATTTGGAAGTTAGTGTTATTCCTTTATTTTGTAAGTTTAAACTTTGTGACCAGTAGGTCTAAACTTTAAATTCAACATCAGTCAACTGCTGTGAACCAAGTTTTTTTGGATCTAAGAGCAATTTCCTCACTTTTTCTTAACTTTGCCATAACGACTGTTACCCAGATAAATTTTCTGCATATATTAGATCAGCCAGAAATGTCTACTCTTCGTTTAGATGAACTTGAGAAGTTTTGCTTGCTTGATGTTATGTACCATGAATTATTGAGGTGATGTGAACTTAATACATGGACAGAACACATCTGCAGAGGACTCCTAAATTGTTATATGTTCTGTAACTTTTGTTAAGAGTGATCGAGTTTTTCTAAGGATGATATTCATGCTACTTGGAATTTTGAAGCATTCTTTATGTTTTCAGAGGTAGTTTATATAGGTTACTTCACCGGCCCAACAATCAATTAGATGAACGCAGGCAACTGAGGATGGCTCTTGATGCTGTATGCTCGTATACCTTGCCTACTGTTTCAATTACAATAAACAACTTGTGATTTACTTGCTGAAATAGTGCTTATGATATGTTCTTCTTATTTAATTGAACTCAGGCTCGGGGAATGAATTATTTGCACAACTGCACACCAGTTATAGTTCATAGAGATTTGAAGTCTCCTAATCTTCTCGTTGACAAGAATTGGGTTGTGAAGGTGGTGTTATTATCTCCTAAGAAGAATGTTTGATGATATAATATCTACTTTGCAGACCTTATTGTTATGATGTGAATTGGTCATTAGGTTTGCGACTTTGGGTTATCAAGAATAAAGCACAGCACTTTTCTTTCTTCAAGGTCAACTGCAGGGACGGTAAGCTGTAATTGACAAACTGTACTTCAACTTTCTTCCTAGCCATTCAACAATGTTTCTACTAGATAAACACTTATGTTACACCTCTCTCTATCAACTTTAGCTTTTATATGAGATGGTGGTTTATGTAGTATTAGAGCGTAGAGGTCCTGAGTACAAATGACACCAGCGCCTCCTCCTTTATTATGCAAAAATGAAAGTATCACGTGAACAGATCACCCAAGAGGGGCCACACGTGAGGAGTATTAGATAAATACTTATGTTACACCCGTCTCTATCAGCGCAAGTTTTTAGATGAGATGGTGATCAACAGTTTCTCTTTTCATTTTGCTCCATTTTTTATTTTCTCCATCTCATTTTTTCAACCATATTCTTTCTTTGTGCGTGGTGATCTACATGTTGCTAAGTGTTGCAATCTACTGCTATTGCAGCATATTGTTTCCAAATATTCCATTAATTGTTCGAGGGAATGCTTCTTTGCTTCTCTTACACTTTGGCCCTTTCTGGCCTGTGCCTTTTGGATGTATATATCCTTTGTTGCTTGTTGATGGAATAGCATAACGTTGCCATGCTGGAAATTGGCTAATTTTTGTTGCATCATTTTATTATCAGCCATTTTTAGAAGATAGCCCAATGCTGTTGGTCCTATTACCCGGGCCTTTGGAGATGTTTTGATTGCCAAGTTTCTCATTCAACAAGGTGGTTGCTGTGACCCAGGATTCAAGATAAACTTCAAATTTCAATTATCTTTACCTTACTATAAAAATGTAGTTGGGCTTGATGTCTATGTCACTAAGTTTTTGTTCCTTATTGTTTTTTAAATTTTGTGACAATTGCATTATGAGAATCTGGGCTTTTTATAGAATGCATCCCTGCAGCACAAAGGCTAAAAGTTGCTTCATGATTACTATGGATGCAATTTTAAGTTGCAGAAAATGCAATGCACATTATCTGGAAACGAAAAATAAATAAATAATGGATGCGTTTGGGTACTTGTATTTTCATTCCTCAGTGTTGATGAAAAAGTTTTAGTAAAGGATTTATTTATTTATTTATTTTTTTTGGGGGGGGGAGGGGGGAGAGGGATGTAGGTAAAAGAAAGTTAATTGAGAGTCAATTAGTAAGTTGCTTAATTTTGAAAATGGTTGTGCATAAAATCCATGAGTTAAACTTCTTTGGTCATCTTCCATGCCTCAACTTATAATTGCAATATTGAGGCTTGATATATATTGTTCTGGCATCATTTAAGATCTAATAGGAAGACATATTGAGAATATTGTCTTTCTTTTTATTTGGACTATCCTGGATATTTGACTGCAATCAGGTGATTTCATTACTGTTAATTGTGCTGACTTTCACAATAAGTATTTTTTTTTTTTTTGGGGAAATGTTGGGATGGGGTAGCCCACAAATAAAGCTTCTGGTGTGGCATAAAAATGTTTTGAGACAGTTTTGAGCGGAAACACGTGTGATAATACGAAAATGTGATATTGTGGCTAGGGTCCTTGATAGAAGGCCCTGAAGAAGCTGGAGCTTTTGGCACAATTCCTCTGGTGTTGTTTTAGTTTAATTACAGATATCATATTATCTGTTTAGATAGTGGTGTAAGAGACTTTGAGATCATAGTATGCCTAGAGCATAGTTCAAACTACCGGTCAATAAAAACCCGACTCAACGGACTCGTACCTAGAACGACACTTTTTCTTCCAAGACCGATACACGACCCGTGTAAATATGAGTCTCACTCTGGTTGACTCAAGATATCTCAACCGAGTCATTGTCATCAAATTGCAGCTTATATGCTAACACTGTTACTCGACACTGCTATATGGCTTGAATTTCTTGCAATGTCATTGCTCGATATGGTCCTCCGACATGGTGACTGATGCTTCTTAGTGCTATCCGAGTCAATAATAACCTTGGTCTCTGGTTTAGAGCAGATTACATAAGTTTGTCATTTCTCTTATGGTTGTTCCATGAAGCTTTTGTGTATCTTGGTGGAATACTTGTATTTTTGTTTAGATAAGCGTGTATTGTTATCGAAGTTTCCTTACATGACCATTACTACTATGACTTGATTAACGTTGTGGTATTATGTATTTCGTCAGGCTGAATGGATGGCTCCAGAAGTCCTAAGAAATGAACCTTCAAATGAAAAGTATGCTTTTACTATCTAAGATATATGAAGGTTATGCTTTTACTATCTAAGATATATTGCCTGCAAATGATTTAAAATACAACAGATCTACAGAAATAAAAAAAAATTAAGTATAAAGTAAGGTTAAAATTAAAAATAGTGATCCTCATATTGTTGATGATTTTGATAATTGCTTATTTTGTAACTGTTCGTTGATTTTGGATTATAAATTGATGCTATGCAGGTGCGATGTTTATAGCTTTGGTGTCATATTGTGGGAGCTTTGTACTTTGCAACAACCATGGGGTGGAATGAACCCAATGCAAGTTGTTGGTGCCGTAGGATTTCAGCATCGTCGTCTTGACATTCCAGATGACATGGATCCAGTGATTGNTTTTTTTTTTTTTTGGGGAAATGTTGGGATGGGGTAGCCCACAAATAAAGCTTCTGGTGTGGCATAAAAATGTTTTGAGACAGTTTTGAGCGGAAACACGTGTGATAATACGAAAATGTGATATTGTGGCTAGGGTCCTTGATAGAAGGCCCTGAAGAAGCTGGAGCTTTTGGCACAATTCCTCTGGTGTTGTTTTAGTTTAATTACAGATATCATATTATCTGTTTAGATAGTGGTGTAAGAGACTTTGAGATCATAGTATGCCTAGAGCATAGTTCAAACTACCGGTCAATAAAAACCCGACTCAACGGACTCGTACCTAGAACGACACTTTTTCTTCCAAGACCGATACACGACCCGTGTAAATATGAGTCTCACTCTGGTTGACTCAAGATATCTCAACCGAGTCATTGTCATCAAATTGCAGCTTATATGCTAACACTGTTACTCGACACTGCTATATGGCTTGAATTTCTTGCAATGTCATTGCTCGATATGGTCCTCCGACATGGTGACTGATGCTTCTTAGTGCTATCCGAGTCAATAATAACCTTGGTCTCTGGTTTAGAGCAGATTACATAAGTTTGTCATTTCTCTTATGGTTGTTCCATGAAGCTTTTGTGTATCTTGGTGGAATACTTGTATTTTTGTTTAGATAAGCGTGTATTGTTATCGAAGTTTCCTTACATGACCATTACTACTATGACTTGATTAACGTTGTGGTATTATGTATTTCGTCAGGCTGAATGGATGGCTCCAGAAGTCCTAAGAAATGAACCTTCAAATGAAAAGTATGCTTTTACTATCTAAGATATATGAAGGTTATGCTTTTACTATCTAAGATATATTGCCTGCAAATGATTTAAAATACAACAGATCTACAGAAATAAAAAAAAATTAAGTATAAAGTAAGGTTAAAATTAAAAATAGTGATCCTCATATTGTTGATGATTTTGATAATTGCTTATTTTGTAACTGTTCGTTGATTTTGGATTATAAATTGATGCTATGCAGGTGCGATGTTTATAGCTTTGGTGTCATATTGTGGGAGCTTTGTACTTTGCAACAACCATGGGGTGGAATGAACCCAATGCAAGTTGTTGGTGCCGTAGGATTTCAGCATCGTCGTCTTGACATTCCAGATGACATGGATCCAGTGATTGCAGATATCATTATAAAATGCTGGCAAACGTGAGTATACCTTGTGTATCATTACAGCCACTCTAGTTGGAAATGCTGTGAGAAGTTTTCTTGCTAGTGATATTTCAATTCACCAGTCCACAATATCTAGTGCCTACTGGCGCACACAGTGTTCTGGTCTAGGTAGACGTTAATGTGCATTCTCTTCAATAGCATGCCTTTGTCATATTCTTAAGTCAGCAATTGGCAATACGGAATTGAAGAGGTTGACTTTGGATCTTCACCCAAACGAAAGTTTAGAACACAGATTCGATTTCCATGAAACTTGGTCTAGATTTGAATCTGTATCTCTCATATAACAAAAAATAGCTGATGAATCATAGAATCTGTTTTATACACTACATGCTTTAGGTGCAGATGTACGGCCTAAATGTCAAACTAGGTTACTTTCTTCTTCTAGTTCCTCAAAAACATCATTACTGATGTTATATGTTTGTTTAACGTGGGTAGTTAACCCATTTTTAGGCAGCCACGTAACCACAGAACATAATGAAAATTTCTTGGATCCATGAACTCTTTCACATATAGGATATGTTCGTTCGGATATTTCCCTAGGAATCGAATTTGGACCGATATTGACATTGACACTCAAGTAGAAAAATAAAAGAACAATCACACAAGACAAAACAATTTACGTGGTTCGGCAATTGCCTACGTCCACGACGACAACAATCGGATGTTTTCACTATTTGGAGTAAATAGAGAGTACAAGAACAATTTTTCAAAACCTCACAAGTACTCACTCTAACAAAGTAGATCACTCCGATATCTCATTGGTGCCCCTCACAAATTTGATAACACAGACCGACACCTGATATCACTAAAATTGATATCGAAATATCGCTTAATGCTTACACTACAAGCACTAAAATATTAAAGTGATTTTCATATGCTTGAACCACTGGCTGGGCAACTCCTTTTATAGGCAAAACTGGGAAAGAAATGGACAAAGGCTCAGATCTGCAAATCAGAGCAATTAATGCAAAGATTATATCCAAACTACACATGAATCAGGCATTCACGCGCAGTCCCATTTTTCTCTTGACTTTAAGCCACCAATTGTTAAAAATCAATGCCACCGTTTATCTTCTTGCTAGCCATAGGTTGTTAGGCTATTTAATTCAACAATTCTCCACCTTGGCATGAAGCCACTCATGCAATTTGAAAAACTCTTTTCGATCGTCGACTCTGATGCACCTTATAGGGCGCTCAAACTTGTAGGATGTTGACTAAGTCCAAACAATGCTCGGACGTAGTTGTTGGAACCACCTTGGTCAATATAGTAGTTGGATTATCTTTAGTAACAACTTTCTATAAAGAAATTTCTCCATCATCGCTAACCCCACGAACAAAGTGAAACCAAACATCAATATGTTTGGTCCTTGCATGATGAACTTGGTGTTTCGGCAAATGAATGGTGCTCTAACTATCACAAAAAATACTCACATATTTTTGTGATATACCCAAATCACCAATCAAACCTCGGAGCCATAAAGCTTCCTTGACGGCATCGGTCACTGCTATGTGCTCTGCCTCAGTTGTTGATAGAACAACTGTTGGTTGTAGCATAGACCTCCAATCAATTCAACCATGGGCTATTGTGAAAACATAGCCTGTTGTAGACCGTCGCTTGTTTAGGTTACCAGCATAATCGGAATCCACATAACCACTAATATGAGACTTCGAACTACTGTCACAGTGATACACCAATCCTACATTCAGAGTACCACGGAGATACTGTAGTAAATATTTCACAACCTTCCAATGTTCCTTACCTAGATCTAACATATATTTACTTATTATACTGACTACTTGTGAAATGTTCGGACGAGTGCACACCATAACATACATCAAGCTTCCAAGTGCACACATATATGGAGCATGAGACATATACTCACGCTCGTATCTTCTCCAAATACTTCCGCTGTGACAAACACAATCTACCCTTCTTCCTTTCTCTCTCAGAATTTTCATGCCAAGAATTTTCTTAGTTGCACCCATGTCTTTCATCTCAAACTTTCTGTTGAGTTGAGACTTCAACTTGTTGATTTCAACTATGCTCTTAGCAGCGAGCATGCCATCAATATATAAAAGCAAGTAGACAAAAGAATCATTTGGTAGCGTCTTAAAGTACACACAATGATCATACTCACTTCTGGTGTAGCTTTGTTTTAACATAAACGTGTCAAATCTCTTGTACCATTGTCCTGGCGATTGCTTCAGTCCGTACAATGATTTCCTTAGTTTGTGCACATGAGATTCTTTACTAATAACCTTGAAACCTTCAGGTTGAGTCATGAAGATTTCCTCAACGTACTTTAGCTCAAGATCAAAATGAGTTATAGTGGCCAATAACACAAGAATTGAAGTGTGCTTCACCACGAGTGACAATACCTTATTGTAATCTACCCCTTCTTTCTGTGCGTAGCCCCTGACTACCGGCCGTGCTTTGTATCTGATGTCAACTGTTCTTAGAGAACCTTCCTTCTTTGTGTACACCCATTTGCACCCAATTGCTCGCTTCCTTTTCAGCGATTTGACGAGCTCTCAGGTATGGTTCTTGTGAAGAGAATTCATCTCTTCATCCAGGGTGGTTTTCTATTCCCAGTAATTATTATCATTTATTGCTTCCTAGAATGTCGATGGCTCATCACCCATCATAGTAAGTGCATAAGATAGCATATCTTCAAAACCATAACGAATTGGTGTTTTAATCGTCCTTCTAGACTTCCCAGTTGCTAAAGATGGTTGTTTTAGTTGCTCTTCTGATGTTCCTTCATCTGGAACAATATCTTCTGGGGTATAAAGCTCCACCTCCACAGGATCATCATTTTCCTCATCTATCTAAATATCCTTCTACTTGTTGGAAGTTAGTATAACAGACTCATCAAAGGTCACATCCCCGCTGATCATAAACTTCTTCAATTTGGGGCATTATAATCTATAGCCTTTCACTTCAGTTGCATATTTGAGAAAGATTCCCTTCTTAGCTCTTGAGTCAATCTTACTTTTTTTAACATGAAAATAAGCTAAACACCCAAAGACTCTAAGGGAACTATANGCAGACTCATCAAAGGTCACATCCCCGCTGATCATAAACTTCTTCAATTTAGGGCATTATAATCTATAGCCTTTCACTTCAGTTGCATATTTGAGAAAGATTCCCTTCTTAGCTCTTGAGTCAATCTTACTTTTTTTAACATGAAAATAAGCTAAACACCCAAAGACTCTAAGGGAACTATAATCAACTGGCTCACTTGACCGTACTTCATTAGGAGTTTTACACTATAGCAGTTGACAATGATCGATTGATGAGAAAACACACTGTGTTTATAGCCTAAGCCCAAAATTCTCCACCCAATTCAGCATTGGATAACATACACCGTACTCTCTCCAACAGAGTCTGGTTCATTCTCTCCGCGACTCTGTTTTGTTGTGGCGTTCCCTTTACAGAAGAAATGCCTTTCAATACCTTCATCTTCACAAAACTTCAAGAATGATTGGTACGTGTACTCACCACTATTTTTTCGGTTCTTAATCGCTTGATTTTCTTGTCGGNGTGTTTATAGCCTAAGCCCAAAATTCTCCACCCAATTCAACATTGGATAACATACACCGTACTCTCTCCAACAGAGTCTGGTTCATTCTCTCCGCGACTCTATTTTGTTGTGGCGTTCCCTTTACAGAAGAAATGCCTTTCAATACCTTCATCTTCACAAAACTTCAAGAATGACTGGTACGTGTACTCACCACTATTTTTTCGGTTCTTAATCGCTTGATTTTCTTGTCGGTTTCCTTTTCGACCATGGCCTTCCACTTCTTGAATGTTTCAAAGACTTCATCCTTAATTTTTAGAAAGTATATCAATATTTTGCATGAGATGTCATCAATAAAAGTAATAAAATATCTGGATCCCCCTTTTGAGACTACCTCTGAGGAACCCCAACATCCGAATAGATGTAGTCAAGAGTGTCTTTAGTGCGCTGGATAATTGTGCTAAACTTCACCTTGTACTGTTTGCCAAAGACACAATGTTTGCAGAAATCCAACTTGGGTGTCTTGATGCTACCAAGCATGCTTCGTTTACTTAATATTTCCAATCCTCTCTCACTTATATGGTCCAAACGCATATGTTATAAATGAGTAGAGATTGAATCACTATTTTCTGATGTAGACACCGTTGCATCATCTGTAATGGTAGAAAATATAGATTTTCTATCTTGCTCCCTTTCATCACGACCAAAGCACTCGAACAACTTTCATAACTCCAACTTAGGCCACAATCTTGCATCCAGTGGAGTTCTTTGCACCTAATGAGATAAGGTTCTTCTTCNCTTGCTCCCTTTCATCACGACCAAAGCACTCGAACAACTTTCATAACTCCAACTTACGCCACAATCTTGCATCCAGTGGAGTTCTTTGCACCTAATGAGATAAGGTTCTTCTTCAATTGTAGAACATGTGTGACTTTTGTCAAAGTTCTCACAATTCCATTATGCATCTTGATTCTGACAATTCCTACCCTAATTGTTTTACAGGCGATGTTGCCCATTAAAACAGTACCGCCATTTACTTCTTTGTAGGAAGAAAA